GCAAGTAAAATAGTCTTCAACTAAGTAGTCTCGCAACATGGTGTGCTGAATCCCATCCAAAGCTTAACATTGGCAAATGCTGCTGGATTTGACTGGACTTATATATCACGTTCTGTTGAAATTTCGCCTGAAAATTTTTTTGTCAATAAGTTTTAATAAAATTGTGTTATATATTATCCGGATTGATGGGAATTCTCATTTCCTGGCTAGTTATGTTGGTGTCCGCGTCATGTGATCTGACTGCGACACACTCATAGTGTAACGCAATAGAAACCAATATAATGCCACTAAACAAGTTTCTTTTTCTTCCTTTTCAGAAAGAAACGTAACGCGGCATCACTAGAGCAAGAGGAAGATCGGTTCTCTAAACTTGTTATAAATGACGATAACTAACTTGTACCCCGGGCTATTCAAGCCTCGTTTTGCTTGAAATAAAGGCAGCCTGTAGACGGCCGTAGGTCATTTGATCAGCTGATGTCTAGCGGCTTTATTTAATGAAAAAACTTCGAAAATAGGTGATTTTTCGTTGTTTTACACACTTTTACACCTATATTGCTGCTAAAAGTTGATGTAATAAGGCGTTTTTAGCATAAACGGGAAATGATGGTGTCCTTATCCGGCCGTAATTTACGGCCAATTTACAAATTGTTGAATTACGTACTTTTCCGTTCGGAAAATGTCGAATTACTTGAATAGACATATTATAACGACTTTTAGTGAATTTTTTTTGCAGTTTAAAGGATTATACATGGACATGATGAGGTGGGATAGTTGGTTTTGTTGATTATTTGATTTACTTTGTTGTTTACTTTTGCTAATGCTGTCAAAGCTCCTGTACATGTATTTCATTAAAGTAAATCTACAGAAATACTTAGAAATTATATACGCATAGTATTTACTCATTTTATAGCACATACTTGATGTTTACAGGTAGATGCAATATCCATTTTTTCTTCTTGAAAAATATTGACTGATGTAATTGTGTACAATTAAACTGATTATTTCATCATTTAACATGTTAAGTAGTTATTTATTGCATTTACAGTGGTAACAATGTCTACATCTTTAGAATTCTTTTGTTCTTTTTCAGATAATATCTACTTTCGGGAATTTCATGGATTTGGGCGATAAAGAAAAAGATATCTGCCGTGTTTTTGATTATGTATTACATGTTTATTCATTAATAAATGTATTCCTCGTAATTCGTTTGTATATTCTAGTTGATAAAGCTGATTTCTAGCATTTGCGTAATTTGTGAGGTACGGAGTATATGACGTGATCTTAAAAATGCTAGGTAAAATTAGATATTTGGAGAGGCTTATTGATAAGAAGACTATGTCGTGCCGTAATGAAGTTACTGCGTCCACTTGTAAAAGAAAACATTGAGGTTATAAGCGCTTAGTTATATATCGTCTTAGTAGGAACCTATTAATTGACTTCGGATTCATAGTCAAACAAGGTTAAAAGTAAATCTACCTGAGATAGTGAGTTTGCGATTTCTACTTATCGTGATAAACCAAGATGGGAATAATGTACCTATACTGTTAGATTTAGAACTCAGTGCAACTACGGTTATCGTAATAATTAAAAACAGAATGCCTACTATTGAAATACAATTATACTTCATTAGAATACCTACGGTTCGCAGCTACAGAACACGGTACGTTGCTATCTGTTCATGTAATCGCGTAAACAACAGTTTCCCAGACGCCGCATTTACTCCTAAAAGTTTGCCCTTAATTCCTAACTTAGCACGTGTTACTAACGTCACTGGAACACAATCGCGTTACAACAGAAGGAACACAGATTCATTAAAAAAGTGTTTATTAAGCAAAAATTAGATTTGAGATGTACAGATAATTCACATGAGTAGTCCTCCGTCACTGTCAGTAGGTTTCATCTGCGTACCAGCACATATATGTTTCTCCATGAGCCTGAAAAGGTTTAAGAAAAGCATTATTAACTTAGGTGGTACATGTATGATCTGAATAAAAAATGTTTCTTCATAAGCATTTACAAGTAATCACTTCACAAACAATATATATAAGTAGCTAAATAGTTTTCACTAAACTCAAGGGACTTCACAATTTATCGTCGGTCGATATCTAGTAGGTCCATCGAAGCATCATGAAATGAAAAATTATTTAACGACAAGTTATGCAATAGTTTCCAAAGCTTGAACAAAGATTTTAACAAAAGTGACAACAGCTTTATGACAAATAATACGAGTTCTGACAGCATTAATAATAATAACGTTCATGTTCATAGTGACTATAAAAGCAATAACAGGTATTATTATCGCAACGAATTCATCATTAACTTAGATAGACAACTACTTATTATACAATCATTTCAATTAAATGTATCACTTAATCTTATGAAGCAGGTGTTTACTTACTTTCACTGCATTCTCGCAATACTGATGTGGTCAACTAGCTTATTCCAAATGAACTCAAGATTAATCCTGAAAGGGAATGGACACCCAGTTTATTTCAACTAAAAACATGTAGCCTACATGCATTACACTGCTTACTGAGACATTTGATACCTGCTTTCCGATCTTCGTGACAGGAAAACAGTAAATGTAGGTTTACCTACATATACTGTTTTGATCTTGATATGGGATGAATTCATTGAATTCAGCAAATAAATCCTCTGGTTTATCAAATCTATCATGAGCTGTAATAGTATGTGCTGTCAATTATGCACCCGACTTGATAAAACGCTCCTGGCAATTGCGAACTTAACCAAGCAGTTAAACGATGTTTGAAATTACCGCAGGTCGAATGACAAACTGGCCAATCACAAGCGAGCAAATCACTTGTTTATCTCACTCGCGGGCACTCAAAATTACGGCCGTCGACAGGCTGCCTGAAATAAACGTATTTTCCTCGCCGTCTTTGCCTTCTTCCATCGTCCGTCGTGCTTGTGGTCTGTGTGTTATAATAGCATGTTGGTTGCAACGATTAGTGTTTCAGGCGAACTGTATCAAAATATCGCTATAATGAGGAAGATAGGATAGTTGGAGGGTAATGTCATCTACACAAATAGTTTACTTTATTTAGAAGCTGCACCTTTCGGCATAGTATCATTCAATGAAGACTTCACGTCTCAGGATATCAATACAGCCTATTTTCGTGTGAAGAACAGTACTTTTTGACAAAAGAATTCTATCAGTACTTGGAAATCACCTGTAAATGCTAACAGAATCGTCTGTGAGAACCAAAGTTATCATGTAGATGTGCTTTTCACTCTATCTGTGGTTGGACAGGAATTATCGTAAGTTGAAAGGTTATCTCTAAGTGAATCTCATATATATATATGTATATTTCAGTCCTGGATTTGTATCGACAACAGTAACCTTGACCTAGCTCTTGAAGTAAATGGGCTCAACTCAGGGTTGATTAGATACGTGGGATCACACAAAGTGAATGCATCTGTGTCATTGACAATGACTTGGAGTCACATCTCTACCTAACACTATACGTTTAACTCCATTATTACTCACCATATTATACTGCTTGACACAGGAGATACAGCACAGACAGCTACGATCAAACACCAGTAGTATTTTCACGTCTTCCAAATTCAATGGTCACTCAAGTGACTTAGGTGAACAATATCATCACCATACACTCAGTTGACGAGACTGTTCCCTGGTAAGTCCCTAAAGTCAATGACAAACAATTCTATTAATACATGTATGATGAAACTGAACTGAAATAAGGACGACAGTTGTAGAAATGAGCTTTGTATTACATCCCGCTTGGAAATTTGAGTTCCTTCATAGTTTAGTTTCCGTACTAAGTGAACAGAATGCAATCTGTAGAATTCATGAAACTCACAAAATGACGTACTGCCTTCTCAAAAAACCCAGTTAATGTTTCCTCCGTAAGATGAGAAATGGGCATTGTGGTTGTGTAAACTCAGTAGATTGTGAACTGCTGCCAATGAGGATGACAATGCGTCGGTGGCACAGTGGTTAGGACTCTCGCCGACCATGCACATGGTCCGGGGTTCAATCCCCTACCGACGCACACCTGATATCTATGGTCGGTCTGTAAATTTGGGCTACCGATATCCATGCTGAAAATTCCATACTTGTACTGAAAATACGGTGTGGCATCAAGTTGTAAAAAAAACAATTCTCGGAATTACAAGTTATAGTTTTAGCTTAATTGCAACACCCAGCAATTGTTAAATGACCATTTGATGAGCATAAAATTTATACAGGAAATGTATAAGATTTAGTAAAACGTATACACTTTTGATTTCAAAATGGGGTCTCCTTGCAAAATGTAGTACTATAATAGCCTACACAGTTCACAAATTAACTCATAACATTGAAGTGGAAAAACTTCTATTTGTCCTTACTGAACTTAATATGGAGAGTCTTGTGAAGTGATTGCAGTGTTATGTATGCAGAAGAGAGGGCAAGGCATTCATAATATCTTGCTTCATGTAGAATTGCAATTCAGCTTGATGAGCGATACTATTTACAGGAGTAAACTGAGAAATAAAGTCTTCCAAACGACTTGTCTTTATTACAAATAAGGTAATAAGTTTATTTCACACATAAGCCTAAGTTACATCCATGAAATCAGAATATTGTAGCAATTAAATCTTCCTTCAAAATAAAGACCACTTAAAACACAAGTTCACAACAATGCTACATATTGTAACCATAGTGCTGATGCCTTTTGTCTTAAAATGAAAAGCTGACTGTTATGAGTACATGAAAACTGAAATTAATACTAAAATTGAGCTATGAATACCAACAACTACCAAACTAATTAGGACAATAGCATCTCAATAAATGGGATAAATATACCAGTATGATTCCATGAAAATTCAAAAATAAACGTTTAAATTTTGAACTTCCTACCTAATTTAGTACATCACATTGCGCAGATGTCAGTATCAAGCGACATTTACTGATAGAACAATTCGGAGCTTCAATTAAATACTTCTCTGCTTCTGTACGTGCGTTCCAAGTTGCAATGCTTTCTGCCAGAGGTAACTATCGTTTGCAGACATTGGTTAGGCGGGGAAAGGTTGGAACCACGGAAGCAGGCATTAAACTACTTGAAAAATTGAAATCACTGAATTCTTCTAACAAAACAAATGATGGATGCTCCATAGCTGAAAGTCCTATGAAAGAAAACACTTCAACGCCACATTATGGTAAAAGCAATACATCTCAGAAAAGGATACGTATAGCTACTCCTTTTCCTGAGAGTGTTAAACGACCTAATCGTGCGTTGAAAGACATTGCGAATTTTTATCCCGCTTTCCTATCGAGCAGTCCAAATTCGTCAAAGGGAAGGAAACACAATTCTGAAGGAGATAAACAGTCTGGTATTATAGTTGATACTTCTTCGTCAGTGCATAGTCCTCCCCATCATACTGAGCAGACGACATCTCTAAAACAGCCTGCCCGTGTCAGGTTTTTAAATGCTATTGAATTTGGGAAAAATGGCTTCCAGCCTTGTTTACACCAAAGAAATTGGAGAAATTTATCAGAGAAAATTATGGAAAATCTCCACTGCATGTGAAATGAGACAAGCAATCCAAAAAATAAAGATGATGTTTGGTTAACCTCATCTGAATTCTTTGAAGTATTGGATAAGGAGCTACTCCTCTACGGTGAACATGTGGATCTATCTAAAGGCCGACAACAGAGACCACAGGAAACTATGTATCCACGAGGGGAAAGAGCTGTCTCCGAAGTTGTATTCAGCCATTATGCTAGGAATGGTGGGATACGCTTCAATAATCCGCAGACATTCGTACAGCGTATCTTTTCTCTTTTGAATGCTTTACAACGAAATTTCGGCTCTCTGCTACGCTACAGCTTATGTGTTTCCGTCAGAGTTCACTGATTCGACTCATGGTGAATCGACTCTGGTGTAACACGGCACCACATCCCAGCAGGGTATTCTTTTGTTGTAAAATTCCTGCAGGTACAAGTAGAATTCATGGACTGAACATTTGTTAAATATGGAAGCGTCCGATTCAGTCATTTAGACGAAAGGCTGGTGAAATGTGATACCTTACACACGCACCTGCAGATGTAGGCATGTGTTAATTCACGTGAACTCTGGGCCATATCGGGCAGGCATTGCTTTAAATACACCCTCCGTTGTACCCTCAATTATTGTTCGTATATATGTAATGACTTGGTGCATTTCCTAGTTTGCCTATAATTCCGGAATGTACATAACATTAAGGAACACAAAGAGATTTCCTTAAAACCAGTGGTGTTCCTTCTCTAGTCTTAATTGATGTCACATTGATTGACACAATTAAAGGAATAGATTGTATTATTTATTTAAACGCAGAAAAACTTGGTACAATATGGCACCAAGAAAGATGCGCCACACAATAATAATAAAACAACACAGATTAAAAGTAAAAATATAGGTAGAAAACGGATAAAGAACTTCATCAGGAAGGAAAACAGTCATGTTTAACAAGTTCAAACAGTATTCGTTAACTATCATCAGGAAGAGAAGAAAGAAGGAAATTGCAACACGTTCGCCATTGATTACGATTCTTGGCCATATCCGATAACGTTTCGAGCCATCGATTCGAGCTATCTCGCGGACCCCAACCAGGGAGTCGTGACACACCAACCGATGCTAATCTAGCACAAATATCCTTCATCCCACGACGCCACGTCATGGACTGACCACCCCTCCGCCTTTTCTATCCCGTCCCAGGGCTAGCGAACAGAGACCTGTACGGAAGCCTCTGGGATAACATTCACAGCACATGTCCAAGCCACCGGAGCTGCTGTTTCCAGATGACGACACTCAATGAATGGTGATCTCCACTGTGTTCAAACACACGCCGCCGAACCTCAGAATTACTCACGCGATGATGCCATCGAACGCAAGCAATCCTGCGGAGACAGCGATGATCGAACACGCAGAGTCGCCGCACATCCTCAGCTCGGAGAGGCCAGGTTTCACAGGCGTAGAGCAGCGCAGCCCGCACCGAAGCATTGTATACCCGTCCTTTGACAGCCAGGTTAACGTCGCGACGGCGCCAGAGGTGGCACAAGTTGATGTATGCCACCGTAGCCTTCATTATACGGCTGGAAATCTCATCCGTCACCCCTCCGCCAGCACTCACACAACTACCTAGGTACACAAACTTATCGACAACTTCAAGCGGTTCACCCGCAAGAGTGAGCGCAGGTACAGGCTCCTGCCAATCTTGTAACAGTACTTTGCACTTAGACGGTGCAAAGCACATACCATACTTACAGACACAGATCGCCAACTGATTAAGTGCGATTTGGGCAGCCTGCATGCTATCGCACAGTAAGACGATATCGTCTGCATACTCGAGGTCGAAAAGTCTATCTCCAGGTAGCAGATCTACACCACCTTCACGCACATCCTTCAGAGCTGACTCCAGAATGTTGTCGATGGCAAAGTTAAAAAGAAATGGAGAGATTGGGCAACCCTGTCTAACCCCACTGTTGGTTGGGAACAGTGATGATAGTTGGTTGTATGCCCTCACTCTACCTGAGGTGTTTCTGTATAGGGCTTTCAAGATGTTAACCAATTTCTCAGGTACACCTCTCTCTAACAGACAGTTCCAGAGCACAGTTCTGTCCAACGAATCGAAGGCAGCCCTAATATCAAGAAACACAACGATCGTTGGCCTGCAATACGTGTGGTGGTGTTCCAACAACTGACGAAGGGTGAACAAATGATCAATGCATCCACGACCTGAACAAAACCCAGCCTGCTCTTCGCGAATCAATCCTTCACGTATTTTGCGCAGCCTGCGAAGCAAGACAGAAGCCAATAATTTAGACGCGACTGGTAGAAGACTGATACCCCTATGATTGTCACACGAATTACGTCGACCCTTTTTAAAGATAGGGACGATGATGGCTTCGTTCCACATTGATGGTACACTCTCAGTTTCCCATACCTTCCTGAACAACCCAGTTAGAGCCATTGTAAGAGTCTCGCCACCATCTTTAAAAAGAGCCGGGGGTAAATTGTCTGGGCCGGGCGCCTTATGGCGTTTTAACACTTGGAGTTCCTTACGGACCTCCGCTTCGGTGGGTGGGTCGGTATTAGCCGACCGAGGAGCACTGGGGCTGATGACAGCAGACATTGAAGCTGGTGGCCAGCTAAACTGTTTCCCGAAGTGCTCTGCCCAGCGTTCCAGGCATCTTTTCAAACTGGTGATTGGCGTGCCATCTGCCTCACAGACCGTCTCGCTGACACCTTGTTTCTTGCTGCCGGTGGCTCGTATGAATTGGGACAGCTGCCGACTGTTGCCAGATGCAGCAGCTGACTCCATCTCACCCGCACGTTCTGACCACCAGGCCTCGCGGTCCTTACGTAAACACTTTCTTATCTTGCGCGTGAGCGCCTTTCGCTTATTGCTGTATTCGCTGCCAGCCGGAATGGACCGGCGCTCATCCAGGAGTTGCAAGGAACTCGCAGAAACCCAGTGGTTTTTGGCGGAGCATTCTTTCAAGCCGCAAGCGGCTACACTAGCTCTTTGCATGGCACCTTGCAGATGGAGCCAATGTTCATCTATACTACTTGGGGGGTTGCTGGCAAGCATTGATTGTAACTCATTCTGATATTTCAAACAAGTAGCAGATGCTACTAGTTCGCTCACATCAACGTTTAGACGACGCCTTTTATGAACCCCACCAAATCGCAAGACGAACTTGGCACACACTAACGCATGATCGGAGTCCAGGCATGTGCTCCAGAAGGAGAGACAGTCTTGTATGCATACTCGCCACCGGAAACTGACAGCAATGTGATCGATCTGAGTCCAAGCTTGGTTCGCAGAGGGAGGACGCCAGGTAGCGCTACGGCAATGGTTGTGCCGGAAGTTGGTGCTGGCCAGAAATAGGTTGTGATCCGCGCAAAGCTGCAGAAGACGGTCCCCATTATCTGACCTGCGACCATGTAGTCCCCATTTACCACCTAGACGATTCTCCTCTGAGCTCAGACGCCCGACCTGTGCATTCAAGTCCCCAGCCAGCACTACGATATCCCTCCGACCCGCCTGTCTCAAGAGATCGTTAAGCTGGTGGTAGAACTCGTCCTTCATTGCATCCGGGCTGCAATCTGTTGGTGCATAGGCAGAGACAACAAATAGACACCGCCTATCTGGCCTACTACTTCTTAATTTCGTAAAACCTTCCAGCCTCACAGCACATAAACGACTGTTAATGGGAATTCAGTCGAGCAGTGCAGCTTCGGCTCTAGCGCTCAGTGCGACGCCGACACCAGCTACGCCGGATGCCGACGCCACAGGGTCCCCGGACAAGCGCAGGTGGTACATACTACTAGAACTTCCAGATGGAGGGGATAATCGAAGCACTTCACTGGGATCTTGAATGCGAGTCTCCGAAATGCAGCAGATATCGATAGCGAGGCTTTCCAACGTTCTTACCAACCCTGCCTGTTGTCCAATTTGCATCAGCGTCCGGACATTGTAGGTGGCCAGCTTGGACGCGGCACGCGGTCTCAGGATATCTGTGTTAGATGTCACATTGGGGACAGCCATTTTGAGGGTTACTCACTAACATCTCGAAACGACACCGATAGGCTAGGAATCCAGACAAAGGTGAAAGGCTGTCGAAGGTTAAGAAGTCAAGGTGAGCAAAGGTAAAATACAGGAAACTAAGTATAAAAATAAAAGTAAGGTTGGAAAGAGATATATCAACTGAGACATCATTATTATTTGAGAGCATTGTTAAGAGCGTGCGATGAGTTTCACTGATAGTTTGTTGCTTCATTTAATTAATTGTGTGAGGGCTGAGATACTGCCCGGGCGCCCAGACCGAAGCAGGTGGCTTTCTTAAGGGACCACCCCCCGAGCCTTTGACTTGGAGTCTAATCCGCAAGGCAGCGGAGCAGCGTCAGGTGCTGCGTTCCCGTGGTTGCCGGTGACCCATATGGGTTCGTACGCCATTTGATCCGATTAGATTCTGGAGCCCATGTACCCCATGGTAACTGCTTTTAGTCTAACCGCTATCCAAACAACCTTCCTGGCATGGTAGGACCCGCAGGGACATGAGTCCCAGCCAGTTTAGCTTGTTGGGTCACTGCGGCATTCAAGCCCGACCACCACGGCAAGGTAGCAGTTATCGGCCGGGGGAATAGATTGTAACGTGGTGTGTTCTGTGGCTGCGAATCGTAGTTACCTAGTTTTGAATTAATATCATGCGTCTAATCCTACTAACCTGTGGATATAGTTCTTCCTTCACGAAATCTAGAAGTTAGGAGCACACTGTCTTTGGCAGATCTAGTTTTGCTTTGTGACTTATTGTGGTGAGTTACCTGGTGTTGTAGTAGTAGAAAAAAACAACTTCAAACCTAAGTATTTTCTAGATGTGAACATATTTACTTTGGCGACATTTAAATCTTTTTATCAAGGAACCCCTAGGGATATCAACTTTTACTTAGTAATTTGGGTCCGAAAGTAAACGCCATGTTACTAAGTTATTCAAAAGACAGAATTATGAGTAAAATAGTACTCGGATACTTATTCTAACGAAACC